TTTATGTTGTTTCCCTTCTGATATTTCTTTTATGCTGTTTTCCTTCTCATATTTCTTTTATGTTGTTTCCCTTATGATATTTCTTTTATGTTGTTTTCCTTCTTATATTTCTTTTATGTTGTTTTCCTTCGCATATTTGTTTGTAAAATACTGCACTAGAGGAGAGTACGAGGTCACAAAGTTGTTTTATCTTTTCTTTCTGTTTAGTTTGCAGTGAAATCTGCATTTTCTTCTGAAACGCCATAGAAAGGGGGCGATAGGGGCGGACGCAATTAAACATTTTGATTTTTGTTTTATTGTTATCATTTATTTACAGTAATAAAACACGGTTTAATCTTTATTATCTGTTAACTTGGTCTATCTTGAGTTTATATATATATATATACATACATATATATAAATATTTATCAATATGTAAATATATATAAAATTGTAATCTCTATTTTCTGTTTGTCTGTTTGGATGTCCGATCATAACTCAGGAATCCCTTGACTGATTTGTCTCAAATTTTGATTGGTGAACTCGGGAGAACCACGGGAAAGTTCTTAGTTCTAAATTGGGAAGGTACACTTGTATAGGTAAAAATTACTAAAATCGTAATTTACGATTTACTAAAATCGTAATTTACGACCAAGCGCGGGTAAACGGCTGGAGTAACTATGAGTACTATGGGCAACGCTAGATGTTCAAGCTATTACATAAAATATAGACTAAAAGAAAATATTCCGCTTATCTGTTTGGGTGTCTATGGCTAGGTTTGTTTTTACCCAATTAACTTCGATTGTTTCGATTGTTTTGTTGCTGTGTTTTACGAAATGTAATTGATACGTTTTACGAAATCTAATTGATACGTTTTACGAAATCTAATTGATACGTTTTACGAAATCTAATTTAGTTTTAAACATTTGAAGCGAAAGCTATGTTTTAATTGCTAATAGTTATAAGTTTTATAAGTTTTGATATATTTCAAATCATTTCATCTTTTTCTTATTACCATGATCTTTGGATGTTTAAAAATCAGGTCTTTGACAGGTGGGGTGGGGGCAACGGACGGAGTGAAAGGGGGAGGGAGGAACCTGGGTGATAGAGGGGGGGAGGAATTGGGGTCTAGAATTTGAATCTGATTTAAGATAAAATACTTTAACCTCCTTATATTTATTTTCCAGAGATAACAAAAAATATTGGAGTTTTAACCAAGAAATATGTTAACACTGAACACGGTATTGTCTATATTATAAAGATCTTCAACCAAGAAATATTTTAACACTGTTATTGTCTATATATAATAAAGCTCTTCGCTCATATATACAACCATATATATATATATGTATCTCCGAAGGTGACATAGGTTTTTTTAAAAAAATATTCCACGGGCAACGCCGGGAACTTCAGCTAAAATCTAAGCGCGGGTAAACGGCGAATGCATAGCTATAAGTAAAATATAATCCTGGGCAACGCCGGCACTTTAACAAGTTTAAAATATGTAATATCCGTCACATTTGAAAAATTAGATAGAAAAAGTTCAAAAAACGTACTTGGAACCTAAAAGCTTTAAACATAGAGAATAGAATATATAGAGAGGAATTTACTACAAAAAAGTGTAAAACGGCCATTTTGTTGTACTGATTCCATACTGCAGGTGTACTTCACATATTTATGCTATATAACCTGTTGGGCCCTGGAATATCATTTTATAGAAAATCTAAAATTATTGTTAAAAGAAAACCAAATTATGAAATAGGCTGGTTTCATGATTGACCAATGATCATTTCACATAGACTATATGCCTTCCACTTTACAAACGATGATTTTCCGTTATAACTATAAATCAAATGATGTTTTTATTCACCTAATTCATTATAAAGTTTATTCAACAGTTTAAAATGTTCGAAATTGAAACGGATAGTCTAGGGAACATACTGTATTAATGTACTCTACTGCATATAATTTGTGAACATTTATATGATTTGTACACTTTGAACTCCCTTTCAGGCTGAAAGGGACTGAAAAAACTCATACCGAGAGATTCTTTTAATTCCTCTCTATATATTCTATTCTCTATGGCTTTAAACCCAAGATCTCTATATATCTCAATTAATCATGATTTTTTCTCATGAATATATTACCTTAGCTGAAAACTTTAGAATGAGATATCCAGATATCCCGTCGAATAATTAATCTGGAGTTTAAATTCATGTGGAGAACAAGCAATATTTAATCTGGATATCAAGGAATTGTGAGCTTCTTTGGATATTTCATTCTAAAGTTTTCAGCTCTGGATATATTTCGTGGATATATTTCCTGGATATCTTTCCTGGATATCTTTCCTGGATATATTTCCTGTATATAATTCCTGAATATATTTCCTGGATATATTTCCTGGATATATATCCTGGATATATTTCCTGGATATATATCAAGGATATATTTCCTGGATATATTTCCTGGATAAATTTCCCGGATATATTCACTGGATATATTTCCTGGATATAATTCCTGGATATATTTTCTGGATAAATTTCCTGGATATATTTCCTGGATTTAGTTCCTGGATATATTTCCTGGATATATTTCCTGGATATAATTCCTGGATTTAGTTCCTGGATATTTTTCCTGGATATTTTTCCTGGATTTAGTTCCTGAATATATTTCCTGGATATATTTCCTGGATATAATTCCTCGATGTATTTCCTGGATATATTTCCTGAATATATTTCCTGGATATATTTATGTTTGCAATTCTGATATTGGTTATACAGTTGAAATAGAGAGTTAACCGCAAAGGATGAGACTTCAGAGACGACTTGCGGAATTTATTCAGTTGTTTTTCTGAGATTCTTGTAAACTTGTTTTTTCTTAGATTCTTGTAAACTGGTTTTTCTTAGATTCTTGTAAAATTGTTTTCTTAGATTCTTGTAAACTTGTTTTTCTTAGATTCTTGTAAAATTGTTTTTCTTAGATTCTTGTAAAATTGTTTTTTCTTAGATTCTTGTAAACTTGTTTTTCTTAGATTCTTGTAAACTTGTTTTTCTTAGATTCTTGTAAACTTGTTTTTCTTAGATTCTTGTAAACTTGTTTTTCTTAGTTTCTTGTAAACTTGTTTTTCTTAGATTCTTGTAAGAAAATAGGTCTGCTTTTTGAAGGTTTCCGATGCGTCTAAATCGAAATGTTTCTACAGTCGTATTTTGATCCACTCTAGTATGCCGAGTCCATTAGCGCCTGATCCAATCAGGGTTCAGCCGTGTGTTTGTTGTCTATCTAAGAAAAATCTAAGAAATCTAAGAAAAACAAGTTTAGAAGAATCTAAAAAAAAACAAGTTTACAGAAATCTAAGAAAAAAGAAGTTTACAATTAGCGCCTGATCCAATCAGGGTTCAGCAATGTGTTTGGTGTCTATTCTGAACCAATAGAAATTGCATGGCGGTAACATCTTTCTTTCTATCTAGCGCATTATCCAATCAGAGAGAAATCCTTATGTCTGCGCTATAACAGTAAATGAAAATATTTACTTCTACTGGAACTATAGTGGATCTATAATTCAAAATCCTTTATGTTAAAGAATTTATATATTTTTCATCCACCATCAACTAAACTCTCTGTGTGTACTGCAGTGATTTGCATTACTCTTACCGAAGAAATAAAGTGGGTTTTAAGAAATATAGTTTAACAAGAAAGAATAAAATATCAAATACGAAAAATCTTCTTTTAACGGATGAAAATGGGTTTTAAAGATACAAGGACGACTAATTCATCGTGGGGTGTCCCCTTTTATTAAAATAAAGTTCATTTCTTATTATTGTTAAAATATTTCAAATCTTTGCGTCATGTTTAGAAACAATTACTCTGTCCTCTGTCACAAAATAACTGCAGTAATACATTATTCCAGCAGACGTGTTGCTATACACCCGCTCTTCACATTTTTCTTATTAACAGCTAGAATTCACTGTATATTATACATATTTCAGTTTTTAAACTTCACATTTTTCTTATGAACAGCTATTCACTGTATATTATACATATTTCAGTTTTTACTTTTTAAACTTCACATTTTATTGAACGCCAATGTTTCACGTTTCACTACGATACTCAATAGTCAAAATTCTAAACATATATAGAATTGATAAGATAGGGCTTTGCATTATGTCGATCCCTTGATATTAGATGAAATATAACACAAAAACTTAAAAATAACATCAGTGTTGTGATAAAGTGTTTAGTTTCGACCTCAACTCTAAAAAGTACAAGTAAACCTTTGATTTAATGCAAACCTAATCAGGCTTCAGAGTTTTGCACTTTATACAGTTTCTTCTTAATCCTTGCATCGATTATCTAGAGATTAAGGATCAGAGTTCATTAACCTGAAACTTAAAGAGAGAGTACGCTAAAAATAACCGGATCCGAAGCAGGGGCGGATACAGGATATAAGTGAGGTGCTAGATTTATTTCGGAACAAAAAAATCCAGATTTATGAACCACTTACGCACAGCAGGCGAAAAAAAAATTTGACTTAAAAGACTCAACAAAAGTCAAAATTAGTGACTAAAGACTAAAAAACTAGATTTTTAACTTATCACACATTATAGTTTATTAAGACAGATATTTTTTCTGTTTTGCACTAGGTTTTCTTTCCCTTAAGTGCTATTGAGAATAAAAGATAAAAGAAAAGAAAACATGTTTACAATTTTATGCATAATCATTTCATATTTTTTGACAATTAGGAACATTATTACAATTTTGATTAATGAGTATTGATTAAGGAACATTACTAGATAGTAACAATATTATAACAAAAGTCTAGTTTCTTACTTATATTTATCGTTCACATTTACTTGTTGATTTTTAAATTAAATTCAAGAAGTGCAGTGTTATCGAAATCTCATTCTTTTAGTTCAACCCTGACTATGTATTTAAAAATTCACTCAACCTCTATTACAAAAAGCTGTGAAGTACAAATAATTTAAAATTTTGTAAAGAATAAACTAAATCATGAATATTTTTAGGAACGGGGAAAAAACGATTGCTCCAATAACAGGTGAGAACAGAATTAAATTAATAAAAAAAATAAACGCAAAGAGTTTCAGATAAATTTTTTTTTCAAGTGACCCCCCATTTATTGTGGCAATGTCAGCTTAAAAATTGAAACTTTTAAACCTTTGTCTGATCAACGATAAATGAGATATTCTTCTTTTCATACAATGGATTATTTTTAATTGTGGTTTCTCTAAAAATGTGACTTGCGGATTTATGCTGCAGAAACAATTAACGTCTCTAGTCAGGGAAATAAAGATCCCTAAAATCAATGCATGATCCCTGATACACAAAAGTTCTGACTTCAGTAAAAACTTTTACAGGGTGGCGAGGAAATATGGGACAAAGATCTGGAATGACAAATCTTGATCTTGAAAAGATTAACACCCTGTACTCCTGTAACATGACCATACCTATATCTGGAGCTCAACCCGTCCTAAAGAAGATAAACTTATTTTTTATTTCTAGTATTTTTATAGCTTTGTATCGGCTGTGTTAAACAAAATAAAAATAGTGAATGATAAACTAATTTTTATTTTTCAAGAAGATAAATAATATTTTGGTTTACTCCCTGTTTGTGAATTTTTTAAACAAATTTCCAACAAATTTTAATATTTAAACTAATAAATCAATTAATGCTATAATGTATAAATCATTTCTTTCAAGAAAAAAAAACATAAAAATAATATTAATCATCGTTCAAGTTGATGCAAAGATTGTCAACATGTGGTAAACAGTAGATAGTAAACAGTAAACAGTAGACAGTAGACAGTAGACAGTAGACAGTAGACAGTAGACAGTAGACAGTAGACAGTAGACAGTAGACAGTAGACAGTAGACAGTAGACAGTAGACAGTAGACACAGTGTGTATAAAATCTATGTTTATGGTATGGATATAATATATTTATGATAAGAGAATAGAATATCTCTGCCACAGGTTTACGGCTTCAATTTCCGGAGTTAAAATATTCTCTCTCTCCTACATATAGACAGTATAGTCATTTTTAGGATAGTCGGTGTAATACTCTTTTGTTTATCCTGTATGCTGTATCCTGTATCCTGTATCCTGTATCCTGTATCCTGTATCCTGTACCCTGTATCATGTACTATCCTGTATCCTGTATCCTGTATCCTGTATCCTGTATCCTGTATCCTGTATCCTGTATCCTGTATCCTGTATCCTGTATCAATAATATTTCTACCCTAAATTGAATGAGAACACTATGTACACCCTGTAGTATGTATACTGTAAATAGTTTAGACTAAATTGGTATTCAGTATTCACACCATTAGTATTAAACATAGAGAAAGTAAACGAAATGGTAAAGATAGCTTCATAAGTTTTCAGAAGAGGAAAAAAACTAGTCAACTATGGACATCAGGAATAATTTGAGGAGCAATCTACTGGACAATAAAACCAAAAAAAAAGGGGGAAAAAGCAACTAGTGTCTATCTAACTTTCTATACAAATATTCAATTATCTACACTTAACGACCCCCAAGAAATATATTTCTTACGTATCTAACACTGTACAGTTTTAGATACGTAAACATATCGTGATGTAACAACCGACCAGCCATATTAATTAATTAATAGAGTGGTTGGTTGTGTACATCTGAGGTAATGCTTTACCTCTTCGTTTCCTTTCTCTATGGTATTAAAGTAGTTCCATCAGTGCTAGTCAATTACAATCTGGAAAACCATTAAGATTCATATTAAAAATCAACTAGGAATCATTAAGAAATATTATTAAAAATTAATTAATAATCGAGATGATTCAGGATAAATACGAAATTCAGGATCAAATGCGTCAAGAGTAAAGTAAATTAATAAGACATTCGTCAGAATAAAAATATTAATTTTACAATTTTGAAATTATAGGAACTCTAAGCGTAATTTTAAGTGACCCACCATGTAAAGATGGCAATGCACGATTTACAACGTTACTCTTGTAACCCTAATCGTATCAAAAATGTAGAAGATTTCGTCGTTTTTCCAACTCGAAAAAATTTATTTCTGTGAGTTTCTCTTTGGTTTCTTAAAAGCAAGACATTTGCAAATCCCTTTTGCAGAGAAATCTAATTCATCCTTGATCGATCAGACAAAGCTTTCAATGGTACCGTTGTAAATCGGGTAGTGTCATCTTTGCATGCAGGGTCACTTGAAATTACGCTTACAATTCTTTAAGGGTTGTTCATTTTAATTTTTTGTTGATGGTGTTTAACAAGAAACAAAGTTCTTCTCCAAGTTTCTAGATATCTTTATTCTCTATTCTCTAGTTCTTGCAGAGAGAAGAGAATAGAGTGTAGAGAGGGGAGGAAGGCCAGCCACAAAAATTTCTAGTTCGAGCCACATTCTCCTCATTTTCTCGTCCGAGCCACCTCGAAATCCTCGCCCTTCCAATATTATTTTCCAAAAGTGTCTAGTCCTCCAAGATAAAACCATTTTTTAAGATTCGGGCCACGCTAGGGCATAAATGAAATATTGAATTTTAGCAAATTGGAAAAAATAGTTTCAATTGAATTAAAGTTTTTGAGTTCTATGTCCTTAAAAATGTTTACCTTTTTTACGCGCATTTTCACATATTCCTGGCGTAGAATGCCGCAAATAATTTCGAGATTATAGAACTTTAGCTTTTTTCTAAATTATTGTGAAAACCATAGATTTTTTCATGGTGGTTCCATGGGAAAAATGATAGGCATAGGTATGCCAAATATTTTTCTATTTATTTCATATCGCGAAGGTAGGCCATTACAGAGGCAGAAGAGTTCTAAGTTTTACCTGAATAAAGTTTGACATCATTCTCATGTCTCTAAAGATTCAAACATATGATTTAATCATTGCAAGACTATCCATATTTTATGCCCTAACGAGGCCAGATTTGTTGAAAATACTTTTATCTTCAAGAATTGGAAATTTTTCAACATATAATAATCGAAGGACGAGGATTTCGAGGTGGTTCGGACGAGAAAATGAGGAGAATGTGGCTCGGACGAGAAGTTGTTGCTGCTGGCCTTCCTCCCCTCGTGTAGATGCATCCAAATGTATAAACTAGACTTTTTAATCAAACTTCTCACAACTAACATTATATTTTATTACTGTGTTTATTNTAAAAAAAACTCTTTTCTGAAATTAGCACCTTAACAATCTTTTGGGTTTTTGAATTCAAACAAAATTTTCAAAAAGCACATAGGAATGACGACTGTTTTCCCGCATTTTAATGGAAATAATTATGTTAATAAAAATGTTGTGATAAAATATTAGATTCTTATCGTCTTCGAACTAATTTTTGAAAACTTTACTCAGATTGAAATCACGCAATAAAAGTATACTCTGATACCCAACGATGCAGAAACTCATTGCCGAGTAATTCCTGGAAATTGGAGAAAATTTATGAACCTGCAGAATTGACGAAATTGAAAAATTGAAGGATTTGCTAATATTAGAGAAAGTTTTATCTATATTATCCACAACAAACTAAGCTAGTAGGACCAGTCAAATAGGCCTATGCTAGGCCAGGTACAGAAAAAAGTCCGGTCGTGCCTTCAAAGAGTTGAAACTGAGCCGACAAAGGGTAGGGTCGGGTCGGTACTTATCGCGCGTCAATAAGGCCTGTACAAGTCGGTCCGGTTGGAATTCAAATTGACAGAACAATTAATGAACAAGTTCCTCTAAAGTAAATATATGAAAATATCGTCACAAAGTCTTTTTTTGATTAAATAATAATGTTTCTAATAAGTTTGATGATAACCTTAATGCTCAGAAAAAGTTTTGAATATAAATTTATTTCGATGATTTGTTTTTTCTTTTTCTAGCTTGCGAGACTTATAAGATACTTTGATAATTTTATTGGTAAATGCTTTACGGAGGAAAGTAAACTTTGTTTTTAAAACTCAACCATGAAGACTTCAAAAGAGAGTATTTTGTGCCCACAGCTCCTTCAGCTTTGCATTTTCGTTTTATATTCGTGAAACACTGACTTTTAAAAACAATTTGGATTAAACTACATTACTGAGTAACATTTCTTATAAGAAATATGATAACCAAATTACTTTTTAATGATTCACTGTAGATTTTAGTAGAACTGTTAGTAGTAGTGATTTGGTGGATTTGTAATTGTATAGGGGTTTGGTAGATTTATAGTAGTAGTAGTTTGGTTCATTTGTAGAAGTAGGGGTTTGGTAGACTTGTTGTAGTATTGCTTTGGTAGATTGTAGTGTTATTATTGCTTTGGTTGATTTGTAGTAGTAGTGTTTTTTTTTAGATTTGTAGTAGTAGTGGTTTGGTTGATTTGTAGAAGTAGTGGTTTGGTAGATTTGTAGTAGTATTGCTTTAGTTGATTTGTAGTAGAAGTGTTTTGGTGGATTTTTAGTAGTAGTGGTTTAGTAGATTTGCAGAAGAAGTGGTTTGGTAGATTTGTAATAGTGGTGGTCTGATCGATTTTTGTAGTAGTAGTGGTTTGGAAGATTTGTTGTAGATGTGGTTTGGCAGAGTTGTAATAGAAGTAATTTGGTGGATTTGTGGTAGTAGGGGTTTGGTTTGTTAGATTTGTAGTGGTAGTGGTTTGGTAGATTTCTAGTGGTAGTGGTTTGGTAGATTTCTAGTGGTAGTGGTTTGGTAGATTTGTAGTGGTAGTGGTTTGGTAGATTTGTATTAGTAGTGGTTTGGTAGATTTGTATTAATAGTGGTTTGGTAGATTTCTAGTGGTAGTGGTTTGGTAGATATTTAGAGAGTACCTAGAAGATGTTGGTTTGCTCATTCATGATAGTTTATATTCATGGTTTAAACTTGAACTTTAAATCCACAAGATATGCTCACGCATCCTTTCAACATATTGTTTATGGGACTTTTATACCCGATTACAAGCGGTCTAAATCATGCAGTCTAGCTCATGCAGTCCAATTTAAGCAATCTGATTCAGTCTGATTCATGCTGTGGGTCGTTTTTAAGCCTTAAATGCGTTAAAAATGCATTTCATTACTCCCTCCAATATGATTTATAGCTCAAGATGTGTTTTTTTCTCCGAAAATGTTTATGAAATGCATTCCAGATTTTAGACCGAACTAATTACTCAAATTTGACAAATTGGAGTCTTTGCCACAAAATCTGATTTTCTAATCCCTATATACCTTTGCGATCCAATGTCGTGGACCTTAGATATTTCAAACTATGAAATCTTTTACATCAAATAATCCATCATTGAAAGGTTTACACTATATCAGTATAGCAAAGATATAGGGATTGGAAAATTTGAGTTTGTGGCTAGGACTCAATTTCTTTGAAAGCAATAAAAGCTTTAATTAGTGTAAAGTTAAAGCTAACATTGGCTGAGAATGTGAGTTTTGATTTTACTGTGACTTTTCATGCGAACCCAAGAACAAGTTTTATGATAAACATTTTTAATATTCGGAGTTCTAGGGTTTGGTTATTCATTATTATTATTTACTATGTGTACATATCAAACAAAACTATGTAATCCTCTCATTTATTGCATTGTACCTTATTATTTTGGGAACCGAGTGTT